TCTCTACAAACAGAGATAAACACTCCTTGAAATGCAGAAACACCATACAGAACTTAAGAAGCCAGCTTTGTGCTAAGAGGAATTCTTTTGCATCTGACTGTTGATGGAAGGCGATTAAAAGCAGGGGTCAGTCATTTACATTTTTCATTGCTGTTTTCAGAAGATACTCAGCCTACACAGGTATGTTGTACCACCACCTGATGTTCTGAAATCCCTGAGAACTCGCCAGCTATTAAAGCTGTGTCTTTCTAGATTCCACAGAAAATTGGTCTTATCCCAGTCTTACCACCAAAAATGTTGTGTCCTACACATCTGTGTTTTTTCAGTGCAACTATTTCACCCCCCCCAGTCATATCCATCACTTTAGTTTTGTGGAAGATATAATGAGCTCGGTTCTACAGACCTCTTCTTTTATCAGCTCAGATCTCTCATTCCCCAGGGAAAGCAGTACAGCAGCGACTTGTCCTTTGATAGCAATAGATAACTAACCTCATTTTGTAAAAGCAGAACGAAACAGAAGAGTTATTCTTTGTCTTCAGCAGCACTGAATCAGACCTCATTGCCATGTACTGAACCCAGTTGAAGAAAACTCAACGCCTTATGCATAATCATCAGGAAGCTTACAATCGCACTGTTTCCTTTTCTTTCCCTCTTTCCTTTTTTATTTTTTTTGCTATTTACCTGGTGTTTATTCAACAGAGTACCACAGTGGAGGTGAATGGGACAGGTTATATTTTCCAGAGCTCTGCCCTTCTGCATACCTACCTATCAGTTATGCTCAGATCATATTTTTTATATTTCTGTGGCAGTAATGATTAAAGATGTAGTTGCTTTTAGAAACTAAAGCAAATATTTGGAAATCTTAGCCACGCAAGCCAGGCCTTTAGATACCTGCTAATGTACCTCAGTTTCCACTCAGCCAATGTTAACCAATCAAAAAATGCTTAATAGCCAATGGTAAACCTATTTACCAAAGGTTTTTTTCTTGACTTCAAATATCCTTAGATACCCACTGAAAAAAAAAAAAAAAAAAAAAAAAAAGACAGCATTGCAAGCTTGGACAGCTATTTAGTTACAATGCCAAAATACGGTGGTCTATGTGCACCTGTGTCTGGACTGAGGTCCCACTCTGTGAGCTGTCATTATACAAACAAAAAGTCCTTCTAGAGTTCTACAAGGATGAAGTTCATTCTAAATAAGAGAAAGAAGATGCACGTCACAGAGATCTCTTGGTGAGATTTGCTTTAAGTGATCTGCATGACTGGAATCAGTGGTTTGGGTGCAGCAGACAGGATAAATCAAAATAATTTAGGACGAGAGGCCTGTGTTGTACTGACAGATGGGGAGTGAACAATCTGTACAAAGCAGCGTTTCTCAGACAAAAATAAACCAAAACGTTAGTTAAGAAACATTTTGGAAATTTAAATAAATAAAAGCTTCAGTATTGTAATCTAATGTACCACTTTTATCATTAAACCAAGAGAAGTACTTCACTTTACCACAACAGGAAGAAGGCTATGAAAACCACAAGCCAGCCTCTCCACACCTTCATATGGTGTTACTCCACACCACTGCCTTCAGTGGAATCATGCGTGGACTGCAGCAGCACCAAGCAAGAGGAGGGATGGACCTGAAGACTGGAAATGAACTTGACATTTTTGATGAAATATAATCCCCAGTACGAGATGCAAAAGGTGACTTTTGTGACAAGCATCTTCCAAATTCATAATGGCTTTCTGTGTGTAACCTCATCTTGCTTCACCCTGACATAATCTTAATTAGTCTTAGTTCTACTGCAGAGAAGCCCACTGAGGCAGTTAGCACCATGTAATTAATCAGATGTTTCACACGTATCACAGTAACCAACAGTGTCAACTTTCTGATACAGCTAACACAGAGAAAAACTCTGCCCCTCCTTTTCACATGAACTGAACCATGTAGCATGGAATAAACACGGGACTTCTCCTTCTAAGCACTGCTTAATGTCCTTTCTTCCTCTAACAGATATTTCCTAATGCAAAGCATAAAACAAACAAACAAAAAAAAATTTTTTATTCTGCTGGTACAGGAAAACACACAATTTGGTATTTCTCTTAAATTTCAGCTTCTTCACAGAAGAAGTCCAGCAGCTGAAGCAAGCAATAAGAGACAAGTGTTGCTTCTGGAATTCATAAATCTCAGGCATTTTTTTTTTCCCCTGTGTACTTTAGCAGCCAAGTTCCTGTTTTTAAGAAATGCAATTTTGCACCTGCACATAAATATGCATTTGAAAGCACTACCTGCAACATGCAGTCATCACATAGCAACAGAAAATGAAGTACTTACATACAATAAACATACACAATGCACACACATTAATTCACTGGATTAAAAGCTTCACCACCTATCTAAGTAATTGTAGATATTAGCTTTGTTCTACAGTTTGAGATTTATCTTTTGTCCTCATAGCAGGAGCCAAATGCTGTGGTGTTGTGCCTACTGGTACCACGGGGGAAACCATATGATTATGTTGTTTGATGGCAAAGAAGGAAAAAAAACATTGCTTAAGGAAAGCAGTTTTATAAAGAAGCTGACTGTCCATTCTCCTAAGCTTGCCCTGAAATAGTTCAAGGAGCAGATTAAAACCACAAGGCTTTGTACAGCATCTGTAATATGCAGTGGTATTTATTAATAGCAAACGCAATACTTAATACACAGCAGTGTTTTGCTTGCAAGAACAATTTACTCCATAACTAATATTCACCATAAGAAAGAGCAGGCTAATGTTTTGCAATTTCTCAGATTCTCAGAACAAACCAGTGAGATGATAATCCTCCTAAAAGGCAGTATATAATGGTAGTTCATTTCAGGAATTGGCAGGGAATAGCTTAACACCTTCTCTCTAACGTGTTTGTGCTCCAGAGCAGTGAAGTTTCTCACACAGGAATTACTAAGAATTGTAACAGCCCCAGTGTTTTCACCTGTGGTGGTATCTCAGGACAGGAACACATATAAGTCTTATTTGCTATCTGAAACATGGAGTCACCATTACTGTGGAAGATCTTGGGATGTCTTTTGTACCTAAATGCCTATCACAAGACATGAGGCAGGCTACTGGAACTGCCAAAAGTTTCAGGTGCTGTCATCCATGATTACTGTTTGCCAAAGGAAGGAATAGAATATCTGCTTCTCACTTTCTAATGCCGTGCTCTCTTCTATACAAATCTTTTAAATTTTTTCTAATGCTGGAAAAATACAGTAATTGTAGTTTTGATAGAACTGCTGCCAGCTTTGTTTTATAACCTGAATAGACCCAGGGTAACAAAATACAGTTAACAGTTCACTCTTGCTCCTATTTTAGCAGAAGGCAAATATGTTATCAAACAACAGCAGTGAGAGGGTATGTAAAGGAAGGAAAGACAAGATGTGGCAGATGCACATCAGAAACAACTCAAAGCACATCATCAAGCTATGTATACGCACTGATGACTCTTCCATCTCAAAGGCACCGGTGTCCTTTATCTTCTAACTCTCAGCTACATTTTATAAACCTAGAGCCAGCTATGCTCTCATCTAACTCAGACTCCCCACTCTGGTAGCCTCAGTCTGAATGTCTGACAGAACATTTGGCTAGCATAGCATGCACACTAGCCACAATGGGCTCACAATGTGATTTTAATTAGTATTTCTAAGATTGTTAGCAGGATGTGAATGGAAAGTACACAGGCAGAAAGCAACAGAGCTTAAGCAAAATTCATGGGGCTAATTTCACCAGCAAGATCTGTGATTTAAAAACTCATGGCACTCTTAGCTTTTCCATATTTTCCTTAACCAACCTTTTCTACCTGATCTCGATCTAAGCAATACTTAGCATCTCCACATCACTAAAAAATGCTGAACTCCTGGCATTCCGCTACTTAGCAGTCTGAAAACCACCTTCAGCATACAGTATGTCCTTAGTTGGGTGATATAATTAATCTTCAGTGTAAAAACCATAGCCACTGAAGACTTGCTCTCTACCCAGTACGTAGTAGGTCAGGGTATCAGAACTCTGTCACGGGAATTGGGAATGGAATCGGAGATTCTTTGGCTCTACCCAGACTCCTCTGAAGGTGTTGGAGTTATTAATGGAAAAAAAACTGGTAGGAAGGGCAGTGACACTTCTACCTGATGAAAGAAATATAAAAACCTGTAACTAAGCTAATTCGGTATATTCAGAGAACCTGGCAACAGTTGCTCCACAGAAATATGCAAGTTTCACAGAAAACGGCCTCTGCTGTTCAGATCTACCTTTGACAGGATTTGTTACCAAGGGTGCAGTAATTAGCCAGCAGTTGGTTTAACCATGGATACACTGACTTTAACGTATCTTCATTTTGTAAAGTGTATCTCTGGTCACTCTTGTCAGGTATCTACCTTCATCTCTAAACATCTGTGTGACACATCTAGAACATCTTTACTCTAGCAGAGCCCTAAAGCATTTTATGCATTATATTCTTAGACTGCTATTGATGCCCAGATGTTTCCAGCATGTATATTGGCATGGACTGTTTTTATCCAGCAATGGGAGAAACACATTTATGTAAAGCAATGAGGGATTTACAATGCCACGCAGAGCAGAAAGTCTTGCTTAACAGTATTCTTCATATTGTTGATTTTATTTATTTTGCAAGGACTCAGAAATCCTGGCGAGTGTTGACTTAGAAGCTGTGTTGAAACCAGGTGTTCCAAATTGAATGCTTACATTATCCTCCAGGCAACGTCTTTACAAATGACAAGTGCAATGAAGATGCCCTCTTCTCATCTACCCCCTCATTTTTGTTCCTTCGAAACAAACTTTTTTTTTCTAGGAATTTGCAACCACTGATTCTGGTAATAGTGAGAACTATTTCAGTGAGAAATATTGGTGATCAGTGTATGGTTGGACTGGGTGATCCTGTGGGCCTTTTCCAACCTTGGTGATTCTATGATACTTGTGCCAATTATAAAGCAAGGAAGTCAAATCAAACAACAGTGCTTACCCCGTTCTGTGTCATAGAGGTACACAAACTTCTCCCACTTGTAATAGGTCAAGAGACTCAAGATGGCTCCTTTTAATGCTGGCCGCATTTGGATGACAAACTGCACGTCTGCATCTGTTGGGAAGCTGGGTGTGATGAAGGACGTGTGAAGGGCTCCACAAAATGACGTCAGTGTGTTCATTGACATCTGGTCATAGAATCCAAAGATGGCATAAACTCCTCTGGAAAACTGTGAGCAAACTGACAAAGAGAAACAGGGGAATTAAAAACTGAAATACAATGAATGCAAAAAAAAAAAAAAAAATAATAATGTTGAAGTACATTTGAAGTAAGCCCACTTACTGAATCCTGAAATTATTTTGTATGATGCAGTAGACCAAATGAATTTGTGAGATATTATATACTAATTTCAGTGTAGCCAACAGAGAGATTGCATCGGAGATGGCAAAGGAACCTCATAGGCTAAATGCATAGCAAGGACTGTGATTGTGATTGGAAGATAAATGAAGAACAGTACAGCACAGAAGCACTTCTAAACCAAAACATTTCTGGACTGAGATAAGCAAGTCCCATTTGTAATGAAAAATACGCTTCCAAGAAAAATGATGACTCAACATTAACAATTCCACTTGCCAAGAGTTGGATTTCACAACAATTTTCAAGTAGCCCCATTAACCATTTTTGCCAAAACTCTGCATATGTAACTTTTTAGAAAGCAAGGAGAATATGTTACTGGTTAGGAACACATGACTTCTTAAAAAAAGTACAACATTGCTATTCCTGTAAGTATCATCATGAAACGTTTCCTATCATAAACGCTATTCAGAATCACCAAAGCCTGTTAAAGTAATTTCTTAAAGGATTCTCCACCATATTAGCTCATTAGCCTCACAGATAACACCTTAGATAGGTACTCAGGTGTGAAAATTCAATTTTCTTCCAGAGGTGCAGATGCAAAAATAGTAATGCCATTAAGGGATTTAAGTGTTTAAGGCACTCTAACAGGCCTTGACCAGAAGTAGACACCAGCAGCAAATAACAGCTGACGCAGGCAGAAAAGAGATGCACACGAGACAGGAGAGGGAATGAGTACTGATATCCTAAAGAAAAGTTTGCAAAAGTTCCCAACCACAGCCAAGAAGAGATATAAAAGAAGTTACAATGCAGCAAGAATTAATTCCCAGAGGCACGACTGAGGAATTAAACACACGGTTTCAAAAGGCATTCATTAAACTATATACCAGCAGGATAGAAAGCAGAAAAGCTACCATAAAAATTATCCGCTGAAGTAACAAATAAAAGGCAGTAACTTACAGGTGAACAAAAGGGAAAAATAAAGACTATGAGACAAAGTCTGGCAGTCTCCAAATCATTTCAATGGCATATAAACTCTCTAATTCCATCATAACAGTCACTGAAGTGGGGCAAGCAGGAGCTGGGTGTCCTCAAATACACTGAGTCAGTATCTCACGGATCAGGCTTCTCTTACATATTTATTAATGGCCTAGTTTACCAGTTTTTATGTAGATTCTTACTGAGGAGAAAGCAAGAGAGCAAGTCCGTGTATTCCAGGAAATATCCCTTCTCACAATGCAAACAAAACATACCTCCAAAAGTCTCCTGATGCCAAATGCCCAGAGCATTTCAAACGATCCCAGATTCACCTGTTCTTTCTTATCAGCTCTGAGACTCAGGAATAGTTCTGAACTATGACTCCAAAGAAATCTCAGAGTTATAGGAACCTGAATGAAGACTCAGCAGGGGCTCAGAAAGCTTGTGCTTATGTTAGCATTAGCAAACGCTCTCAAGCAGCGAGTAAGCAGAGACTGAAATCAGGCTGCGGACAGCCTGTTCAAGGAACGTTTAGATGCTGTGTTAAGGGATGTGGTTTAGTGAGAACTGTTGGTGATCGGTGGATGGTTGGACTGGATGATCTTGCAGGTCAGAATCACAGAATTGTAGGGGTTGGAAGGGACCTCCAGAGATCATCGAGTCCAACCCCCCTGCCAAAGCAGGTTCCCTACACCAGGTCACGCAGGTTGGCATCCAGGCAGGTCTTGAACATCTCCAGAGCAGGAGACTCCACCACCTCCCTGGGCAGCCTGTTCCAGTGCTCCGTCACCTCACTGTAAAGAAGTTCTTGTGCACATTGGTGCAGAATTTCCTATGCTGCAGTTTCCAGCCGTTTCCCCTTGTATTGTCACCATTCACCACTGAAAAGAGTCCATCCTTGCCATTCTGCCCCCCACACCTTAGATGCTTATAGACCTGGATCAGGTCTTTTCCAACCTTCAGGATTCTATGATTCTATGACCCTAATTAAGTCCTTCTCCAAGCACCATCCAACAGCAAAGATGGAGCTACTGTTGGCAGCAGACAACCCACTGCAGCCAAGAGCCCTTTTGGATACTTGCACCTATTTTTCCTACAGAATTCTGGAGGATTATCAACAATAACTTCTAACAAAAGTATCCCCCTGCCCAGAACTATTTTCCAACTTATATCTCTGTTCACTGCAGATCTTCAAAATTTAACACTTTTAATAGGCTATCAGTAGACCAGCTTTTAATATCTTCATCTCTTAAGCTCCTCTGCTTTTTTCTTTATAGCTTATTCTTCTTGACTAGCTATTCTGCATGCACTGTAGGGTGCCAATTCAATTTTACTGGCCCATTTAAAAGCCAAATAAACCTTTGTTTTTATAAGGGGGAGATAAAAAGACCAATTATCTTGGTCCTCGATGTTCATTTGTGTTCTGAACTGACAATTTTGTTACGGTTTTGTAGCACTGGGTCTTTTGTTTATTCTGTGACCTAATCTCTTCTACGATCAGACGAAGCTCCTGAAGACACTGATGAAGCCATGGCCATCCAAAAACCAAACACATCATTACATTCATTTTAATGACATTACTATTCTAACATCAAATTGTTCTAAATCAAAGCAAAATAATAATTACTAAAAAAAGTAGCTAAACCTTAGCTTTCAGCTCATTATGCAAACTGCCTTCCATTGACATTCAGAACAATCCTCATTTTAGAGTAAGAATTCTGGTATTTTCCTTAATTAACCACCATTGATTTATATTTGTTTTTCCCCCTTTGAAAAATGCACAAGGTCAAACTCATACTCTGGCATTAAAAAACTGATTTGGATGAATCCTGATGAAATCTTGCTGCCCCCAAAATGGCCTTTTTTCTTTCTTTTTTTCTGAGATGTCTTTAAGATTTGTTTTTATTTACAGTTATTGCTTCTAATACTGAGGATGTACAACCATTCACAGGACAGCACATATCCAAGTTGCTTTACCACCTCACCTGAAAGAGCTGCAAGCTCCATAAGAGGGGGACAGAAGGTTTTAAGTAGCCCCTATCCAATGGAGGATCACAATAAGCTGTAACTTTAGCATCAGGTGCAGGACTGACACAACTTTACTTAGGTTGGCTTAACTCTGAATTTGTTCTCAGAGTAAGCTGAGAGTAAGAAGCCACATGCTTCAGGTTCAAAAAAGGCAGGGATGTATGGTAGAAGCCTGTGAATTCTCAAGCATGCTAAGAGAAGAGAAGAAACTTCTGGGTCATGAGACTGAATTGCTTTCTGCAAAGGAAAGAAAATGCCCAGAGCAAGACTGATGACAGCGGTGAGCACATTTGTTAAAAATGTAATAGTAAAAAGCAACAATGAACAAACAAATAACAACAAAAGCAAAAACGGCAACAAAGCACATACACAGCACCAGCAATAAAAACACAAACCTAATCAAACCCAAATAAATTAAATCTTTGCATCTCAACTGAACAGCAGCTGAACCATCCAGACACCAGTGCGACTCGGTGAACCCAACTTCTGCTGCTCCACCAGCAGATCCAGTCACATCAGCCCCTTCACAGAAACTTGCCAAGATTAACCAGACAACCATTTTTTTCACTCTGACCCGATGAAGGCTCCAGGTCAGAATCTCCAAAGGTGCCCCATTTCACACAAGCTATAAGATGTTTAGTGTCTTTTTTATAATTTATTTTTTTGCTTTCTAGCTGTATTTAGCTGTCCTACCTTTTGTGACTGTGAGCACTCCTGACACAGCAAGATTGTACAGGCTCTGACATCCCTACTGTCTGTTGCCTGGAAGCTAAAGTCAGATATCTCTGAGACCTTTTTATTTTATTTTTTAAGTCCAATTCTCACGCTAAAAAAAAAACCATGAAACTTCACTAGGAACATTTGTAAGTAGGCTTGGATTTTGCTTGTTGTATAATCAAAGAATAGTAGGATGTTATAATCACAAACAAGAGAGTTAGGCAAAGTAGACTATGATAACAAAAGAGAATAAATAGAAGGCTTACCCCTATCCTGGGCTCACCCATAAAACACCAGTAGAGGTGACCTCCAGAAGAGATCCTTCCCCACTGGTAGCCAGCTCTTAAATAGGTCTAGGAATTGCCTTCACCTGTGCTCCTCTGGCTGACTCTGGCTTGCCTCAGGTGATCAATCAGAGGTTCAGGCCGTGACTCAGCAGCTCCCATACACTTGTTCAAAGAAAAGACAAATAAATCCCAAACAAAAAGTACGTGGGTGGATCTTACTGTGTCATTCCTCCAGATGACGCCATTGATGCTCCCCAGCATGGCATGCAGTGCCCTCCAGACCCTACAGGCCCTGCAGTCAGGGCTGGGATTACAGCACCTGAGATACTTTTCCCTCTCTATGACTATCTGTATGGACAAATCATTTCCACTTTATTCACACCAGTATCTTGTAAGACGGTCTGAAAAAACAAACTCATATCACAAGAGTAATGTAAAGTCTGTTTTATTGATAATTATATCCTTCTGTGGGCTGAAACTCTCCATAGGAGTACAGTGACAACCCATACTGCTGTATGTTGCTCACTTTGGTTCCCCAGTTTTGTGTTCTGCATTTCTCTCAGCTGTGAAATAATTTTATTCCCTCCACTTTCCTCTGCCAATTGTCTTGGACTCTGCACAATTCTCATAGTCAAACTCTGCCAATGGACTAAGGGCTCTACTTTCACATGCAATAACACACAACCTATTGCAGACTACTTGCTACTTTCTATTTAAAGTCTCCCTGCTATGACTTCCTTGCTGCAACAATACAAGGGTTATCATTAACTCCACTTCATACAGTAAGCATACTGGCTCTTAGAGAGACTGACAATGTCTCTACTTCTTTCTTTCCCTTTCATTTCAATACATGGAATGAACAGGCAGTCTCTCTCT